ATAGAAAGGGAAGGAAAATAGATATAACAAGAAGAGAAAGGAAAAGAGAGATAGAAGGAAAGAGAGAAATAGATAGAGCGAGAGATTGAGAAATACAGATATAAAGAAAGAAGAAATAGGAAGAATGTTATTCTTGGAAAAGCTTGAGAAAGTAAACAAATAATAATAATGATTCTAAGGGTGCTGGACCTCTTCCTCAGCATGCCTTTTTGTTTATTTATAGTTCAAATTGTGGGTGCAATATGATACTAACCCAACCCTTTTTCCCATAACTGTATAATCATTTTTATAATTGGTGCCGGTTTTGAGTTGATAAAACGAAGCTCTCAGATTTAATTTGGGTAAAAATTGGGTGTGGAAACCTTGAACCCAAATTGAACTCGCACATTCGTCAATTTACATATGCTAATAACGGTGATAAATATTAATTTATTGTATTAATCTTTTGAAAAAATGTTCTCCCAAAGGTATGCCCTTGATGTTTCTTGTGTATTGTTGTTCGTATTTTGGTATATTTGCATTCATTTTTTAAAATTTAATATGACCAAAATTTTATATCAACCAATTTTTAGTCCGATAATTTATTTTTTATTTTTTTATATTGCCTAGTGGTCCAATTGGTTGAATATCTAGTTCTCCGAGCAAGTGTATCCACTAAAATGATACTGTAATGACCCGAACTCGTGGGTCCGAATCGCTAACCGTATTTTGGTATATATGTATAAAACATTTAATAAAAATCATTGAAGCAAAACCACCCCATACCATTCAAGGTATATAGAACCCTATACTGAAAAAGAATTTTTCTCGTTGAATCATCAAAGCCTCAAGCTCCCGGCCTCCTCTGCAACTCTCGGCCCTCTTTGTACTCAAACTCTCGACTATCTGTTTGCAAACTCTTGTCTCTCTCTCTCTCTCTCTCTCTCTCTCTCTCTATGTATGAGCTCTCTTTAATTGTATATACTCAAACTTGGTGCACAAACACCCTTTATTTAAGGCCATTCCACCTACACATATATCTCACCGTACACAAAAATATCAAAACCATGATAAAAAATTAACCAAAGGACCATTATCAGTTTATCAAAAGTCAGGGCTACCATCACAAGTGGACCTCGCCCTCACCACCTCTATCTCTTTTTACTTTATCACTCCATCGTGCCAAAGCCCACGTGATAGAACTAAGTTTCCTCTAGTGGGTCCCACCCACAATCATTACAATACCCTTTTTCTTTCTTCCTTTACTTTTCTCTTTCTTATCTCTCCACCTCGGCCGACACATCACTTCCACCTTCAGACACAAAAAAAAAAAAATATATATATATATATATATATTTATATATATAATAAAAACAAACCAAATCAATTATCATGGGACCCGCCACTAATACATCATCCCAATCACATTTCCATTCTCCTTTCTCTCTTCAGCCACGTGCATTTCCCTTTGGCAAGATACAAAATATATATATATATATATATATATATATATATATATACACACACAAAAGAAATAACATCAAATCAAAACCCATCTTTATAATCCAAGTGGGACCACCCATCACCGTTTCTTTCTTTCTCTTTAATCTTGGCTGGAAGCTCCCCTTCTACAAATAAATAAATAAATAAAAAATAAAAATTTATATATAGATAAACTATAAAATAACAACAACTACACCTCTACTAAAACAAACTCAAATATAAATTAAAATCTAAAAAAAAAAAATCCGGGTTATCGCAATGCCCTCATTCATCCATCACAATACCAAACTTGTTCCTAAAATATCTCTTCTAATATATAGATACACATATATGCATAATTGCATATGCATGTGAAATGCCCCCTCACTTAAAATGAGAAAATCGGAAGAAGTTTTCGAACCCAAAAATCGTCCCGACTTCCAAAAAATTCTAAAAATGATACCGTCACTTCTAATTGACTTAAAATAATTAAAATAAATTTTCAAAACCCTCGACTCAAATAATTATCTACAACGGCCTTCGGGACTCACGTGACATGCAAAACAAGGTATAGATTAAAATAGTCCAGAAAAATTAATTAAATTTCAGAAAAAAAAAAAAATAGGAAAAATAGGTAACATTACCGATACAAGTGACCAAAGAAGGTTTTTGGCCAATAATTTGACACACTCCTAATCTTCAAATTTATTTGTCAATTTGACCAAACAAGGCTGGCCAAATTTAAGATTGTAAATAGATAGTGTGAAATATTTAAATATTAAAATTAAACCCTTTTCGCCCCAAGGATAGTGGTATTGACAGGAATTTAAGAGGTAAATCCTTCAGGTAGTCTAATAAAAATTGGACTATATATATATATACTCAAATTAGTTTCACTTTATTTTCAATGTGGGACATTTACTTCTCACATTTTGCATACTCATTCTCATTCACATTCACTCGAAAACGAATTTAAAAAAATAAATATACCACATTCATCTCCTTACAGATAAGAGTGCGATTGTCAATAGATCTGCAAATATTTTTTAGCTAGACTACTCAAAATTTCGCCCAAAAATATATATTTTGTATGTTACGTTCCGAACACTATATATGTGACATGATGATGAGATGCTTAACTAGCAGTACTATTGTGGAAAATATATAAATAAATAATACTATAATAAGGAATTAGTAATAAAAAAAAGTAACCAGGCATCTAAAAAGTTATGGGTAAAGTACTGCCACACCTCCTGAGGTTTGGCAAAAGAACACTAAGATGAAACTTACCCGTTTTTTAGACAAAGATACCCCCTGAAGGTTCAAAAATGGACAAAGACACCCCTTTACATGAGAAATTGACCAAATTACCCTTTAACCGTTTAAGAGACTTTTTTAACTTTACAATTTAATAAATTGGACCAATCTACCCTCATGAACAATTTATGCATAAATAAAAAGTAACAAAAAAAAAAAAAAAAACTTTATATTGTTCACTTTTATTTTTTATTTTTATTTGCTTTATAAATGTCCCAACTTCTTAAAAATGTAGACGTCTAAAATGATTTTTGATCGAATACATATATTTCAAATAAATTATATTTTGTTATTATTTCTTTTCTTTTTCTTTTTTATTTTTAAATTAAGATGCTTAATTCTTTCATCTAAAAAAATTAAACCAATCTTTTTTACTTAAAAATAAAAAATAAAAAATATGGTGCCAGTATAACTTTATACATCTTAAATTATATATCAAATATTATGCATTTTCCAACATAAAAGGGAAAAAAAATAATAAAACAAAAGAAAAAATAAAATAATAAAGCAAAGGGGAAAAAAAGAAGCAAAGGCATGCATAAAATTATACTAGTACCTATTTTCTTTTATGTTGGGAAATGCATAATATTTGATATATAATTTAAGATGCATAAAGTTATACTGGTACCATATTTTTTATTTTTAAGGAAAAGAGATTGGTTTAATTTTTTTAGATGAAAGAATTAAGTATCTAAATTTAAAAATAAAAAGAAAAAGACAAGAAATAATAACAAAATATAATTTATTTGAAATATATGTATTAAATCAAAAAATCATTTTAGATGTTTACATTTTTAATAAGTTAGGACATTTATAAAGTAAATAACAAAAAAAAAAAGTTAACAATATATATAAAGTTTTTTTTTTTTTTTTTTTTTACTTTTTTTTTTTATGTAAAAATATTTAGTAGATTGGTCCAATTTATTAAATTGTAAAGTTAAAAAAGTCTCCTAAACGGTCAAAGGATAATTTGGTTAATTTCTCATATAAAGGGGTGTTTTTGTTCATTTTTGAACCTTTAAGGGATGTCTTTATCCAAAAAAACAGGTAAATTTCATTTTAGTATCATTTTACCAAATCTTAAAAGGTGTACTTTACCCAAAGTTATTTAAGTGTACAGAACTGAGTATCTGAGAAGATGAAAACAGGCCGATATTCATTTTACAAATTGATTGGTTTCATGATTGGACAAGTCAACGATGCCATATTATACCCACCAAATATGTTTCAGAGAAAGAGAGAGAGAGAGAGAGAGAGAGAGAGAGGCTATAAAGAGATTTGGTGTTTACTCTGAAATGGCCAACGTCTTCCGTTGCAATACTGCTTGTTGTTTCTAATATTGTTAGCAAGGCCAGGACTAGGAGAACGCCAAGAAGATTGCAAGGTTTCCAGTTGCAAGAAGCATGGTCCGGCCATTCATTTCCCCTTCCGTCTTAAAGACACTACAACAAATTTGGGTTCTTGCCACAAGACACTTCGAGGCAAAAACTTTCAAATTTCATGGTGAAAGTCTTTTAACCGCAAGAATTAGGTCGTGGCTCGGTCGTGAGTGTAGCCCCGTCATAGAATGCCAATAATCACGACTAAAAATTTTCATGACTAAATGTGAACCTTTTGCCGCAAATTTGAACTCATGGTAAAATACCTTCTCTTGCCACTAGCTATTTCGTCGCTAAATAACAATACTTTCGTGGCAAGTAATAATCCCGATTTGGGAATTAATCGTGGCTAATTCAATCATTTTGCAACCAAAATATTTATCTTGGTAGAATAGGACTTTTCCCACGGAATTTATTCGTGACTATAAATTTAATTACTCACAAATATATGTCGTGGCAAATACCCAAAATAGGCCACATAATTTATTGGTGGCTATAATTTTAATTGCTCACAAATATATGTCTTGGCAACTATCCAAAATCAGCCACAAAATTTATCCGTTGCTATTCTATTATTAATAAAATAAATTTTAATTTAATAGCCAAAAATATATATTGTGGCAAATACCAAAAATAGGCCACATTTTTATCGTGGCACGATAAGAATTTGTGGCAAACCTTGTAAATTATTAACACTATAAACAAAAGAAAAAATATCAAAATATATATATATATATATATCACATCAACACGATTATGCAAACAAATAAATACTTAATATTGCATAAGTTATACCAACCAAAAAATATATTGTTTACAACATACATAATAAAGCCCATCGCGTAAAAAAATGAGTCTTAGCATCTAAAACAATTTCAACTCCAATAATTTGGACCAAAACAAGCTAGTATTTTAAATAAAATGTTTCAAGATCTTAGACAAAAATGAGCTATAGATTCAACAAAGGGTTCAAAGACCTAGACATACACTACTTAAACCATCTTAAACAAAAAGAGCTTGAAGTCTTGTTGCATGACCCCATCCAAAAATCTGCAAAACAAACAATGATGATCTTTCCTCTACCTGCAACAACAATCAAACCACAAGAGACAAAGAGGAAACAAAAACAGAGAAAATAGAAGAAAGAAAATCCAAGTAATAGGATACAATTTGTGAATGCATTGCACTACAACCAGCCAGACACACAAGTTCATAGGGTTGGCACAACACACAATTTGCAAGGGAAAAAAATATTCAACTTTTTAAGCATAGAATGCATTGCCATGGACTACCTTGTGGATTAAGCATGATCAGTACGAAAACAGAGAAACACAAATAAAATTAAGCCATGGACCTAGAAAAAGCTAAGTAGAACTTGACAATTGAGACCATTGGTTAAACAAGTACACAATTTTTGAAACTTTCTTTTTTCCTCTATTTATTTATTTTTTAATGCAACGATGAAGAAACACATAAATGAAAATGTTGCATGACTATGTGATGGATAAAAAAGGCTTTCAAAAAACTTTACGTGGGATATCATTAACGCTAAATGAAACTTTTTTCATTTGTCATGAACATAGAGCTTTAATATTGGCATCAGCAGTTTCTCCTGTATTTAGAAAGAGTTTCTACATTTATGGGATATAGAATAATTAGTCAAATTCAAAACTAATATTATATCAACAAATGCACATGTTTGGCCAATCCTAGTGACAAATTTGGCTACACAGGACTGCACATGCTAGAAATATAAAAACTTCAGTTAGACACTCAAAGATTTAGATTAAACTTACATAGTACTTAGTAAATAATGTAAACTTTGACTCTCAACATCTCAAATAACCATTAGAATGCATTTCAATGTATGAGTATATCTAATGTAGTCTTAAAAAGAATGATTGTTAAAAAGAACAAGGTGTTTTATGAATCCTGCTAAGCACAAACCCAAACCAATCTTCAGTCCAAACAATTGAGATACCTAGTAAAGAACAAAACAATTAATCTTATCTTAAGAAATCAAATTTCCATGGAATGGGATATTTCTTTTACAAACACTAATTGATTAGTATGATAAGGACAATAAACATAATTTACAAACTTCAAGGAGAAAGATGTGGTTGGCAGCTTGAAAAAATAAGGGGACTTGAAATCCAAATATCTATACCATGTCAAGCTTAATAACTTGTTTACAACAAATTTACGAAGTGATAATATGACTCCTTATATAATTATATGCAATTAATTAATTTCATATGCAATAATCTTCTGTAAATATTTTTGGCATCTACATTCTAGATGTGAATACTTCTAACAGATCCTAACAACTTGAAAAGCTTCTCCCATTAAATATTACCTAGCTTTAAAAAAAAATTGTCATCACGGCACTTCCAGTTCCATTCAGCCCACCTGCACATTAGAAGTATTGCATATAATAGTTGTGAAGGTAACATGACAAAGATTTCATAAAGTGAGCAAAGAGTAAAAGGATCACATGGATTTCTCCATCATTCAAGGAAACAGCATAAAAGAACAATGGTTAGATAATTTGAAAATTAGATAAGTGGATGCATTTAGTTTCACAATAAAGTTTTGCAAATATTTGGAATCAGAAATTTAAAGGTTTCCCATTTAACAATCTCAAATATTCCACTCTTTTAATCTTGTACAAACAGTTGTGTTTTTTTTTTTTTGGTGTAGCAGGGGTGTAGTTACCACCACGCACATGAGGTACAAAATATTGACTAACAACAAATTTACACCAGAACTTGGTAAGATCTCTGTTCAGTTTTGGGTAACAATATTTACTACTAGATCTCCATCATCAAGAGAAAGCAGCAATGGAATATATAAAGGGTTAACAAGGATCATAAATGTATCAGCAAGTAACTAATCTCCAAATTTTGGGATCATCTACATTTTTAAAGCACTTGCTTAGAATGATGGGCTGCCTTTCCACGCAATAAGAATGTTATTCGAGTAGTTCCATCAAAATAATGCGATATCACCACCACTTGTTTGTGAAAATACACAAAACCCTCAAAATATAACATTAACCAAGAAGGACGATGAGCCTCCCCGGACAATGAGCCTCCCAAGGCTTGCTGTACCAATAAATTAAATTTAAGTTTCAAAGGTTTGGATACTGGCCAAACTGTTGTATGTGTACATATTTTTATTTGGGGTAGGTATGTTGTACATAAAAAATTTCTTTCTAGGAGCCTCTTTTAATGTATGGGGAAAACTTTCGTTACGAGTGGGTGAACACAAACATCATTATGTTAACAATAATTCTAAAACTAAGTTTTTGGAACAACTGAAGTAATACTTTGATTTGAAAGTTATTTGAGTTCAAGTCTCGCTGTCCACGTTTATATTCATATTTTGGATATACTTAATTTCTTAGCTGACTTAGAACGTTCTTTGACTTTTATCACATCAATTATATATATGTTTTTGGAAGAAAAGACATTGTTAAATATTTGGTTCTCATGATTTGCAGGTTATTTAGTTCCCAATAATTAAAACAGTACTGGTGGGGGTATAAAGTATCATAAATTGATCCTCCCATGTATCTGAACAATGTCTATTATTAAGGAGACATGCTAATAGCATTCATCTAAATACCCCAACACGGCGTTGACAAACAAGAAAGTCGAACCAACCCACCAATGAAATGCCGAGCCTATAAGATATTGCTGGTGCCTCACGAATCCATACATAATTATTTTAATTTCAGCCAGCAATATTCTTATTAGAAGGGAGGAAGATGAGGGGAACTTGAAAGACCATCCAAAGACAGAGACTTCTAATTCTATGATTTTTGTTTTCTTGAGAAAATTAATTCAGTGCCAACTTTTAAAGACCAGAAACTTGGAAACGAGTACATGCTATGAATAGAAGAATTAAGTATGTGCAGCTCAAGAGGCAACAAACAAGCTTAAATGAAAAAAACTCACAATTCTGAATTTCTTCTAAATTACCCAATCAGATTAAGAACTTACGCATAGATATTGAAACAACCCATCCAATTGTTGGTGTTTCAGATATACCTCTTGCAATTCATCAGTATTACATTCCAACAATTTCCCTTATTTTAACCAATGTTAAATACTGAAAATATAGATCTTGCATGGGTTCAAATTCAATAAATTTTGTAAATAAGCAAAATCATAAGTAGAAAAGCTACTTAGTAAACCAAGTAAGATATCTAAAATATTCAACAAATTTTAAACAATTTAAACATTGTCATCTAAGAGAACAAAATAATGAAAAATCGGCAGTTAACATTAGAAATCAGAGTTACGAAAATTAAAAGAGATAACAATTGTAAACAAAAGCAGAGTACTGGACAATCAAAGATCAGATCTGGACATACCAGCTCTGGCTGTTGAAAAAATGGTGAGTGAAGCTAGCTAGGTTGAGTGAAAGATTCGATATTGAATTCTCTTCGGTCGACAGTCTATGATTTTGGAGATTGATATGTGGAGAGGCAAGACATATTGAGAAGCGTCGATTCGTTCGTCGAAGCAGTCATTGAGAGGAAACTAGGGATTTTTTTTTTCACCTCAAGATGAAGAGATAGAGAGAGAAGAAGAACGCTGGGTTCTGGCGGCCAAGATAGAGAAAAGGGGCAGAAATACCAATTACCAAAAGAAATGACGTCTTTGTGAGTTTGGGTTATAAACGTTGATGTGACGGTTGACAATCAATTGAAATGTAGGTGAATAAACAATGAAAGGATTTGTTTATGAATCATGTTTATTCAAACCAAAAATTGCATTGTTTCCAACAGACACATCCAAACAATAAGAGACATCCCAAACAGACACACCCATGCACCAAGAGACATTTCTAAGTCTATAAATACCTTTGGTCTGTCGTAATTCAATCGTTCATTTTTCCATTCCCTCTTTCTCTCAACATGTTCGAATAATTAGACCAAACATCTATAGTAATGAGTCATATTGCAATTGGACCGAGTCAAATGGTTCAAATCGAACCCAATTCATTCTTTATGTAGGAGAGATATATTTTTGAGTCAAAGAGATTATTACACAGAGGAGGTTCGTCGTATTCATGAGTTTGTAGTGCTGTTACTGGTAGATGTAAATCGTTGTATCCTAGGAGACAAGCACCACAGAGTTCGTCAGCACCATACGGGGTGTAAATTGTTCTAAAGACATAGTTTCCAATACTAGCCTCGGTCCAAGTTCTTTATTTATTATTATTATTATTTTATTACTTTAATTTACATGTTTAATTAAATAAGAAGTTGAATATTTAATTAATTAATTATTTTTTAGCATATTATTAATTATCTCATGACATATTAGTATAAGGTTAGTTATATCTTAAATGTAATTTGAAGCATATAATTTTCAACATAATCTAATAGTTCAAAAAATATTTTCATGATTTATATATATGTGCATAGGCATGTTGGTAATTTTATGTGTGATTAATATAGCATTTGAGGGAGAATTATTAGTAAAAATAACTTGGATTAAAGAATGTTTCGGGACCTTAGAGGAGAACTTATTACAACTATATATATATATCGTTAAATTTTATCTTTTACAATATTCATAGAGTGGATATTGTGTGATTTTCTCTTTTTGTTTGATCGGATGTAAGAGAAGAGAATAAGCTCACGGATCGATTCGGTTCAATTTGGGGATAAAGTTCAATCCAATCCGATTCCTACAGATTGGTTAAATTTGAAACCGAACCGATCAGTGGGGAATTTCAATCCGAACCAAGCCAATCCGTGAAATAACGGATCGAATCGGTTTGGTCCCATGAATTGGGCTTTTCAAACCTTGGAACATTAGTATCGTCTGCAGTTGTCATTTGCCAATAACAGAAATTGTTACATCAAATTCAGCTACTAATACCTATTCCAATACTCCTCATCTAAACCAATTATATAACTTTAAAAAAAAAAAATCACAAATTAAAATCAAACTATATTTTTAAGAGAATAAAAAAATTTAAAATCAAACTTGTGGAACTAAGATTATCATAATTACATCTTTATACAAATAAATAATAAATCAGAATAAAATATTTTCAAAAAATATGAGAAAAATAAGAGAAACAGAAGAAATTAGGAAGGACATTACAAAAAACAATATGATTTGTTCAGAGAAGAGAAGAATAAGAAAATCCACGAAAAAATCTTGTGAACTCAACGAAAAAGAGGCCGATCCAGCCGAAGGGGTCGCTGTTGCTTCAATATGTAGAGGTCGCCGTTGTTTTGATGTATTGTAGGGTGAACGATAAATTGAAAGGTGCTAGATTGAGAGGCGAGAGATTGGGAGGCAAGAGGAGGAAAAGAAAGGCGAAGAGTGACAGTAAGTATATATGTAATATATTAATATATAATTAAGGTAGCAGATCGGTTCGGTTCGGTTAACGGATCAAATCAGTTTTTTTAGGGCCCAATCCGTTAACCGAACCGCGAATAGCAGATTGCTATTTTTCTAAACCATCACCGAATCATGAGATATGAAAATCGAACCGAATCGAACCACATGGATCGGATTAGTTCAGACCGGATTGACGGATTATTTGAACACCCCTAGGTATACCTTAGAACAATAATTATTTGTTTCCTTGAAACGTATTGGCAAATCATTTAATTAGAATGATTGAGTAAACTGGACAATATGGAAGGCAAAGAGTGACAGTAAGTATATATATAATATATTAATATATAATTAAGGCAGCAGATCGGTTCGGTTAACGAATCGAATCGGTTTTTTCAGGGCCCAATCCGTTAACCAAACCGCGAATAGCAGATTGCTATTTTTCTAAATCATCACCGAACCATGAGATATGAAAATCGAACCGAACCGAACCGAACCGAACCAAACCACACGGATTGGATTAGTTCAGACCGGATTGACGGATTATTTGAACACCCCTAGGTATACCTTAGAACAATAATTATTTGTTTCCTTGAAACGTATTGGCAAATCATTTAATTGGAATGATTGAGTAAACTGGACAATATGAATTTTTCTTATAAAGAAAAAATTATATTAAATTAATTACCTCTAAATAAGTTTATCTTTCACTATAAGATATAATATTTTTATATTATATTAAAACAATTGCTAGGTAAACTAATAAAGAAACGTGGGAAAAATTATCTAAGATTGGCCATTGAAAATATATTTTAACTTCTATCAATTTTCACTTCTAATTAGATTTTATATATATATATATATAAAATATATATATAATAAAGCAATTGACTATGAATAAGTTTATCGTTCAGTATAAGCTATAATATTTTATATACATCAAACCATTTATAACAAATAAATTTCTTTACAGTTTTCTCATATAACAATTAAAAATAAACATAATTATTTTATATTAAAATTTCACAACGCAAGAAAATTATAACTACAAACAATGACATTTTTGCCAAACGAATAACATCGTTGCTACGAAAATTGTTACGTGGCAAAAGATCACACAACAACCACAACTAAAAATTCGTGGCAAAATATGTCTTTTAGCCACAAGATAGAATATTCGTGACAAAATAACATTTTTCGCCACAAAAATAACATTGTTGCGAATTACAAATAAATTTGCCACGAAAATAGTTGTGTGGCAAAATAACATACAATAGCCACAATTGAAAATTCGTGGCAGAATAAATCATTTAGCCACGAGACCAAAAATTCGTAGCAAAATAACATTTTTCGCCACAAGAGTAACATCGTTGCGAATTACTAATAGATTTTCTACGAAAATAGTTGCGTGGCAAAAGAGCATACAATAGCCACGACTGAAAATTCGTGGCAAAAACAACATTTTGCCATGACTTTGTATGTCGTCCCTAATTTGTTGTGGCAAAATTGATATTTAGCCACAAATTTTTAGGTCGTTCGTAAAATTCGTCGCAAAAGCCTAATATTTGCCACGAAAAGTTTGTTCCGTGGCAAATACCAATATTTAGCCACAAGAATTTAATTTTATGGCAAAAACACTACTTTTTGCCATGAAATTTTACGTGTGGCAAAAAATTTCATGGCAAGAGCCTAAATTTGTTGTAGTGAGACCACAGCCAGCCCGGCTACTGTGGCTATCCCGGGTTTAAGCTAAAGTGCAATCAGAGAAATCAAACCATGCTGGAGCTTCCAAATTCAGCAAATCTGTTAGTCAAGAAGATTGATTACAAGTCTCAATCCAGTTACCAGTATGACGGGGAAGGCTGCCTTCCAAGTCAGCTAATGAACCTCAATATATCTGCCTCTACTTTTCAGTTTCATGATCTAGATTTTAGGAGTTACTATGACTACGCTTTGTACAATTGTTCTGCACCAGATACACATTTACAAACTCGCATCCCTTGCCCTAATACAGTTCCTAGATATAAAATTTATGCCGTCGATGGGGAGGCCTATTCCCTTACTTCCTGCACAAATATTGATAACATCACCACATCACTTCCTCCTAATATATTTCACCATTTCAGTGATAATCTTATATTATATTGGTCGGAACCAAATTGCTGGAAATGCGAATCACAGAGCCAGATATGTGGTTTAAAGAATCATTCCAGCAGACATCATGATATTGAATGTTTCGTCCACATGCCTAAAACAACAAAAGGTACTAAATCTTGTGATATCCTTATAACATATGTGGTATTTGTTTTTGTTCCGTATCTTTAAAGATGACCTATATATAGATAATCAGGAAAAGGCTACAAATAGTAAAAGCTGAATATCTGTTAAAAATAAGGAAGAACAAAAGAAATAATTAGCTAAAACAAAATATATACAAGTCAAATTTTCTTATATTATAAGCCTGGCAAACTAACACTTTGATTCGATTTTACAGGTTCAACAATAAAACTAGTTATGACAAGTAAAGTTGTCTATATATTGATCACCTTCCGGTTGCTATTAGTGACTAGAAAAGGTTTTGTACTGTTTTCTATTATTTATTAATCTACCTCGGTTGATTGGTTTGTTTTAATGCAGCTATCGTCATCTTAGTTGTCTTAATTCTTACTCTGTTAGTCATTGCGCTCTATCGTGTCTATAGCTCAAACAAAATGTTGAAAGAAGAAGATGTAAAGATTGAAAAAAATTTGGAGGACTATAGAGCACTCCAGCCCTCAAGATACTCTTATACTGATATTAAAAAGATCACAAACCAATTCAAGGAAAAACTGGGGCAAAGGGCTTATGGGACAGTTTTCAAAGGACAACTTTCAAGTGAAATTTTGTAGCCGTTAAGGTCCTCAACAATTCAAAAGGAAATGGGGATGAATTCATCAATGAAGTGGAACAATGGGTAGGATCCACCATGTGAATGTGGTTTGTTTGGTCGGATTCTGTGCTAATGGATCTAGACGAGCTCTTGTTTACGAGTTTTGCCCAAATGATTCTTTAGAAAAGTTCATCTTTTCAAAAGATCACAACAACCATTTCCTCGGTTGGGAGAAGCTCCAAGATATCGCTCTGGGCATAGCCAAAGGAATTGAATATCTTCATCAAGGGTGTGATCAAAGAATCCTTCATTTTGATATTAAACCGCATAATATATTGTTGGACCACAATTTCAATCCAAAGGTTTGTGATTTTGGCCTAGCAAAGTTGTGTTCCAAGGAACAAAGTGCTGTCTCTATGACTGCTGCAAGAGGTACCATGGGATACATTGCCCCATAAGTCTTTTATAGGAATTTCGGGAATGTGTCGTATAAATCAGATGTATATAGCTTTGGAATGTTGTTGCTTGAAATGGTTGGTGGGAGGAAAAGTATTGATGTTAAAGTAAAGAACACTAGTCA